AAACAAACAAACAAACCAAACAACAACAACAAGAGAAGAAGAGAAGACAATACATGCACCAATGTACACATTAACTAAATACATCAGCAGTTTTTCAAGATGATCCGGTTTAGGCCCCAATGAGTACTATATAGGCCTACTACCCTACTATCCTACAATCTTGCAATCTTGCAATCCTTCCCCTACCCCACCCCTACTCCTACCCCATACCCTAACATGAAGCTACTACATGTATTTGTATTTCGTTAGGCTACTCTTGGGGCCAAAACCGGAGATTCTCGATTTTGCTGATAGAGCTTTGTAATTTTGAGCTCACCAGGCTTTGTTGAAAATTCTATCTGCAAACGGAATACTCTATTACGGAAAGAATCACTGCCAAAATGACGTAAAATCCCCTTTTACAACTCAATTTGACTCATGTTACATAAATAATTGAGAAAATTAGTGCATTCGAAAAAGCTTGTCTATGCTGTGAAACTCAAAATTTTCAATTTCTATTTTCTCAAAACTAGGTACTGTGCAAACAGAATGTTGCAATTTTCTAAGGTTGCAATACTGGCTGTTAGATTACAGTTGTAAGCAGCGACAACAGTGATTGTATAAATGAGCAAGTGCGTGTGTTGCACTGCATGCAGTTAGAGGTGGGAGATTCTGAAACAGTCTTAACGGTTTCAACTGATTATTTCGTTTATTAAGAAACATTCATTTATGTTGGGAAAGAGTTGGAGTGGAAGTGGGTGGGGCTCAAGCCCTGTAGCCCTTCACTACGGCCCGCCACTGCAGGCTGGATGTCTTTCTGATTTGATTCTTTCTCTTTTGTTTCTATTTTTCAAAGAATGGAGTCCCCCCCCCCCCTCCGAACGGTAAAAAAAATGTAATTATAGCAGCAGCACGCTGATAAAGGAGATAATGTAATTATAATATTTTGGTAACCTCCACGAAGCCACATTAATTAGGAAAAAACCCAACAACAAACAAAAAAAGCCAACCAACGAAGAGACGAACAGAGCTCTTGCCATCATTTGGATTAAAAGTTTCGTCTAGTCGGCAAGGTCGACAAAATGGCGAAGTACATAGAGAAGATTTCGAACGCCTTGAAAATAGTAAAACACAATGGAGGAATCGTTGGAACCTACTTGGGTTTGTACAGGTTGGTTGTTTTGTTTTCTGTAGCATGTAGTTCGACATTTAGATCTCAACGTTGTCACTCTTAGCTTCACTTTCGCAATACTATAGTCAGCAGGCACTGCAGCTGCAGGCTGCAGGCACACATCACTCACATTCACAACAACAACACTAGATCTAGATCTACACTCTAACTCTAAGACCTAGATCTAGATCTAGTAGTATGATCTAGATCTATATCTAATATCTAGATCTAGACCTCAACTCACACTGCTGACCACGTCAGTTCAACACCGAGTACTGACTGTTAGGATGTGCACAGAGCGGCCTTTCTCCCCCAAGCCCAATAGAATAGGAAGTGGCTATTCTCATCCGGGGTGAGAATAGAAAAACGATCTACCTCTCACCCCGGGTGAGACTTGCCAGCGTAGGCTATTCTCACCCGGTGCGAAACAAGACCTGCTTTTCCTCATTTTGGAATACTGTCTATCGGTGTGGATGATCAAATTGATAAAACGAAGTGACTATTTCTCCGAACGTTCGGAGAAATAGTGCCGATCTTTATTTCTCCGAACGGTTTCCGGCTTCTGCTCTGGTCGTGATTGTTTGCCTATTTGCGAGAGTTCGGCACCAACTTTCATTCCGTCATTCTGCGAGGTCTGGGAAGGAGCAAATCAAAGGTGGTATCTGTTCTCAGCTTCTCCTCCGGCCGTGTGCCCACTGGTTTAGCGAGGCGGGTACTGCCTGAGGCACCCGAGAGACGGAGAAATCTGACCCTCTTTTCTATTGAGTGGACGGTTATCGTCCATTAAAAAAAAAAACGGAGCAAATTTTTGGGTTTAGATCTATTTCAATTTTCAAGAGCTAGATCTAGTCTAGAGATTTTTAGATGAGTGTAAAAACGTGAAAAAGAAAGGTTTCACAACAGAATGAAATCAAAACTAGAACAGCCCAGAAACAACCACAACAATTAACAAATAAGGGCGTGTGTCCACCTGTCCGAAGAAGATTGACCGTTTTAACCCTAAATGTGCGTAATTTGTTAAAAAAAAGTACAGGATATTGCATGGAAATTATGGAACCACACACAGGGGGCCTGCCAGTGTCAGTACATGTACCTGGTTTTGGTGGAACGCTCTAACATAGCACATTTAAATCTATACAGGTATATATATTTAGAATCTAATGAAGGTAGGAACATCAAATTAAATGACGTTACACAATACCTTTTGTAGGAACATCAAATTAAATGACGTTACACTATACAACCCCCCCCCCCCCCTTTTCCCCAACAAAAAAAAATTAATAGAAAAACAACCCATCAGAACAATAACAAGAAAAAAAAATACACACCAACAAAATATAACACCACAAAGAGGGAAAAATGAACGAAAAATAAAAGAGGAACAGCAATACAAATCGTATGTAACTGTAACGTATTCAACAAATCAACGTGGTGACAACAAGTGAGAAAGAGACGAAGTGAAGCTAAGTGAACTTTCTTTCAAAAGTAAAGAGTTTCATTTTCTTTTCTTTTTTTTTGGACTTGATTGGTCGCGGCCTCGACAAACGCAGATGCTAGCTCTATGTGTCGTTATCAATAACCCTCCATAGATCTAGATCTAGACAGCTCACGAGTGAACGCAACACATTAAGTTTAAGAGCAGCACCCTTCAAAGGCCACACGTCATATCTGTAGCGAAAAACTGTTTGGAACTGTAGCATTTCTTTATATAAATACGGACATTTTTTGGACCGATTGAACCATATTGTATACGAACAATCTTTGGTAGGCCTATAATATAATTATAGATCTATATTTTATTTTTATTATCCGAAATATGCGGGAAAGGGTGTGATTTCAGAGTGTTCGGAGAAATAGTGCCCAGCTTTATTTTCCCGAACGTTCGGAGAAATAGTGCCGGCCTTGATAAAATCCAAGAAAAAATTACACGTTATAGCACAAAAGTAAGCTAATTTGATCGTCTTCAAAGATGCTATGGCTATTTCACTGTTCGAATCGAGCCGAACTACGCGGGTCGCCATTTTGTTTTGCCCGGAAGTTCTCGCAAGATCTACTCCTCCCCTCTCTCTCTCTCTGTCTCTTTCTGAATACTGTCTATCAGTGTGGACGATCAAATTGACCAAAACAAAGTTAAAAAATGATGTTAAAACACAAAAGTAAATTAATTTGGTTGTCTACAAAGATGCTACGGCTGTTTAACTTTTCGAATCGAGCCGAACTACGCGGGTCGCCATTTTGTTTTGACCGGAAGTTCTCGCGCTACTCCTCCTCTCTCTCTCTCTCTTTCTCTCTCTCTCTCTCTCTCTCTCTCTCTCTCTCCACTGCCCACAGACAAAATTGTACGCTACAGTTGTAATGGAACGTTTGTTCACGGCACAGAATTCTACAATTTTTCTGTTATCACAGTGTAGAATTCTGTGGTTTAGGGTGAACGCAAAATTTGTTGGCCTAGATCTAGGCTATAACAGTGAACGCGCACCGGGTGAGAATAGCCAAAAGACTCACCTGCACTATTCTCATCCCGGGTGAGAATAGAGGTGGCCAATAGAATACTAACTCAGGTCAGGTCTTCTAGATCTAGATCTATCTAGGTAGGCCTACTGAGTCTTTACAAAATTACGGTGCTTTTGCACATTTTTAGGGTCCATTTTATTATTTTAAATTGGAAGGGTTAACCCTGGTCCTGCGGGGGCCGGTTTTATTATGTCGCCCGATAAGCCTATATCGGCACCTCGCCTTCGTTCTGGTCCCGTGTCAGTCCAGCCCCTGGCTCAGTGCACGCGCGCCAAGCATCATCCCCGTTCTGTTCGGGTCCTGCATGGGACCCGCATTCACACAGCTCTGTCTTATGTGTGTGCGTCAGTCTGCTTGAGTTTGTGTGCGTTTGTTGCCTACTTCTAGAACCGCCTGCGTTGGTTCGTAACCGAGGACTACGCCTCATTCAAAACACGCCAAGTTGCTCTCTAGATGTTCGTCCAATGAAATTAAAACAAATTGTCCCACTTAGACATGAGGAGCTCTTGAAGGATTGTCAGGAAACAAGACTTCCAATTTTCTAGCCAAAATCTTTCAAATTAGCTTGATTTTGTATGAAATGATAAGTCTAGATCTAGATCTAGATCTAGATCTAGATCTAGATCTTCTATTATAAAAAATATGAAGTGACTATTTCTCCGAACGCTCGGGAAAATAAAGTTGAACTCTATTTCTCCGAATGGTTTCCAATCTCGAGATTTTTTGGCTGTTTGCGAGATTTAGGTGTCGTCCTTTCATTCTGCCTTTCTGCGAGGACTGGGAAGAAGCATTTTTTTGCATTGAATTCAATTTCTAGAGCGAGAGATTTTTTATGTCTGAATATTCAGATACTTCTGAACTTCAGTTGTGGTTCTTGGGGCAACGTTCCCAGACTATACTTCATTTGAAAATACCTTCGAAGTCAAAAGGTACAGCGTGAAAACAAGACTGCTCGACCTTGGCAGTAATCCATTTTCAGGGTTCCTGCCATGAACTTCCCATCAAATTCAAGGAGAAATTTTTTTAATTCAAGGAGGTTTGGTCAAGAAATTCACGACGAAAGCCTATTTTCGATAGGCCTATACTAGTCGGAAAGGAATCATATCATAGTTTCGATTTCCAACAAAAACTGTTCACAGGGTGACTGCCAACCTGGCTTCTCAATTTTCCAGGTGGGCTCATCCATTCTCCAGGGGCATGTTACATAACAATGACAGTGCATGCTCCATTTATATTTTATATAGAATATATACACACACACGCGCGCGCACACATGTAGGTACATTGTCCAGTCAACAACATGATGTCAGTGTGGCACTGGGATACTGTGACTTAGGTATTTCAGTCTGTTCTACTTTTATTTATATTTTCCCCTCATCATATTCGCCTAATAAACTATATAAAAATGAATCTTGCTTTGAGCCTGAGAAAAGGTCTAGAACCAGAATATCGACGGTCAAGAACCAGTTCGGGAGTCAAAAGTTTTTATAATAACGTGAAAGACAAAAATTATAGCTCAAACTCGAAGTAGAGTAATAACATGAATGGCTCAACTCAAGTAGACCTATTCAGTGTGAGAGGTGTAAGAACTGACTGTGGGAGGGTAAGATGTAGTGACACTGAAAATCTGCGAATCTCGAACAGAAAGCTAAAATATTAGTAAGTACAATACATATAATTTACTATCACCTGCCCATTGAAACGGGAACCCTTTAGTTTTAAGAAAAAATCACAGCTTACAAGGTTTGAGTGAGACAGATCATGATTCAACACAAGGCCTGTACCAATGCGCGCTTTGAAGGGAGATCAAGATCTAGATTTAGATCTAATAACAATCAAAATTCTGGAAAGTAAAATCTGCTTCCAAGTTCAGTTTTTGTCATCCGGAGTTGCCTTCAACCCCATCCCGCCAACCCCCTCCCCCGGGCTCGTCTTTTAAAAAAAATCAATAATACCCACATTCCCGAGCCCTATACTTCACAGCGCTCAGACTTTGCATGAACTTTGGAGACCTCAACCATCGCCGATACTCAATATATGAACGAAAATGCACAGGTTCAATGACCGGTCACGGTGGCGAGCCCGACAAAAAGCTTGTATAATTTTTTTTTCTTCCTTTTTTTTCACAAGCGACAGTACAGGACAAATGATTTATTTTCATGACGACACCGCGTTTGTAATGCAGAACCTGCATGTTACAAATGTGGCGTTATCAGACTACTATAGGCCCTACCGGCAAATTTCTGGGCGGAAGCAGATCTTGATTTTGCTGATCGAGCTTCGGTATCGCACGTACACTTCCACTTGTTGCCGCCATAACCGCCTGTGCGCGGGTAACGTACACTCGGGCTGGGAAAAGCCGAATGAATATTATATCACAATCGCGACAGGCAAAAATGAACTCAGGGCCCCCCGGGATTCCCGGGGCCTGGCAGTCACCCTGTGTTCCTGTCCGATCTGGCAAAATTCAAGGGTTTTCAAGGACATTTTTCCTTGAATGCAAATTCAAGGAGTTTTCAAGGAGATTTTTCCTTGAATGCAAATTCAAGCAGTTTTCAAGGACTCCTTGAATTCAAGGAGGCCGCGGGAACCCTGTTTTTTGCATTTAGTCACCCTGCAAAAATTAAAATCCTTCTTATTTTCCTGATTTATTTGTTTTGAAATTGCCCGTTTTTCATGACTTGATGATTTCCGGTTCTGTTTTCTTTTCCAGGCGTGATGACTTTAAGTGGGGCACGTTTGTTGGAGAGGATAAGTACGGCAACAAGTACTACAAGAACGACTACTTTTTCATGGGTAAGGTCTTCTGTTAGCACCAGGATCTAGTAGTCCTATAGTGGCGTCAGTGGCTTAGTGGTTAGGCTACCGGACTCGAAATCATGAGGTTGCGGGTTTGGGAGTTCGAGCCGTGGGCCCGACGTTGTGTCCTTGGGAAAGGTACTTAACCCTGAGAGGGTCGCGACGGCCCGAACTTCCGTAAAGTGCTGGTCGCGATAGATATTGGCATAGTATAACGCGATGTATGAAGAGAACGAAGTACTAATTTTTATACTGCTGGCTGGTAGGCTACACAGAATTGATTTCGCCCACCATTTTTCTTGTCACTGGGTTGTATTGAGGCACGAGGAGTTTTTTGTTTCACATTGAAGTCGGGTGATAGAGAAGTAGGAAAATTCGCGATTGTGACCAGCGACGAACATGAAAATAGTGTCACATCAGATTCAGATGAAGATATTCCGCATGTTTTCCTTGAATTGGAAGATGATTTCGAGGGTTTTGATGCTAAAGCTAACATTTTGTGGAATATGACATAGGCCTACGAAGCATCTAGACTCTGGTCTAGATCTAGAGATCTAATGAACCGGAAGTTTTTATTCAGTCATTTCCAACATCACTACTACAACAATGACTTCACAAAATACTTTTTGCTTAACATATTCACAAAGAACTTTCAATATTCTAAAACTTTTATTCTTACCTTCATTAGAAATTTTGACAAATAAAAAAGCGGATGTGCAAATCTGGCGTTTTTCCAAAATAAATTCAGCACAGAGGGAAAATATAAGGGGAAAGAAGTCAGTGCTCTAAGGGTTAACATGGATTTTCCTCACTTCCCCCAGTTGGGAATGTGTACCCGGCCATAGACAGCGAAAGATTCTGTCAGTATGTCAGTGTTTTAGCGCCTATAAATGGCTGCTTGCACTGTATGCTTCCCAGGAAGCTGAGGTTGTGTCAAATGCTTTCAGATCTGCTGGGGTAATAGTATAGATTGTGAAGCGCGTAGAGCTTGCTGTTAAGCGGGGATTTGAGCTACACAAATGCTATCTATTATTATTATTTCATTTTTTTCTCTAAAATTTATTTAATCTTATTGCCTCTTCATTTCCCTTCAATTTGGTTTTTGTTGTTGTTATCGATCCAGCAACAGCCTGGCTCTCGCCCTTCTGTTCAATGCCATGTAGTGATTTATAAGTGCATGTTTGCTGCAGTTGCTGTAATGTTCTGTAGAGTGTGTTGTCAATGTTAGATCTCGGATGGAGAAGTGTAGCTCTGACGTCATTTAGGGCTGTACAGTGGAAAAGGTTTCACTTTGGTTATATCATCACTCTTAATTAAAAGTGTTTTCCTCCAATGCTGTAGTGCTGTAGGTTTCTGATGAGGCAAGGTGTGCCAGGTTTAGCTGACTGGAAGAAACTCTGGGGAGTCGGTGGTAAAGACTCAAGATTAAAGAGTTAAGAATCTGCAATAGAAAAAAAAATTGGAGAATTTTGGGCTAAGTACCGTTGAATAGTTGGCCAGCGATATATAGATCTATATATTTGTGTCTTGAGGCGGTGGAATCAGACGCTTGTCAATTTTTGGGCATGTGGAGTTCTTGGGTGTGCTGCCTTAAAGCTTCTTCTTTTGTTTTGCTTTTGATAAAATAGATTAAATACCCATTTATCTTGAATATAAGTCCAGATATTTGCGATTGAAGGAAGCGGGGTTGCTTGGTTTCAGAGGTGTAAAATTAGCTAGAAAAGGACTGCCAAAGTTTGGTTATTTACATAGAGCCTGAGAATCAGTAAAAACTGAAAATTTACATTTTTTGTGCCTTTATCAATGTTTTTCAGCAAAAACCCACGCAGAAATGTGTTTTATATATGGATATAAAAGGTGTTGAGCCAAAAAAAGATGAGAAAAAATAAATAAATTGCATAACAGCTAGAAAAACACCAATTTTTACAATTTCATTATTTTCACGGGCGCCTGATTTCACCATGCTGCCTCACTTATTTCTGTGATGAGTTTTCATTTTTGTGGGAGATGGAGCTCAGTTGGTGCGTGTGTATGTGTCTGTTTGTTTGTTTGCTTCTCTTGAAAGTAAAGAGAGAAACAGATGTTTTGTTTCGTTGTTGTCATCCAGTCTTTTGTTTTGTTTAACCAGTCTATATATTATATATATATATTAACTGTCACCATCTAAAATAGTGTTTTTAATAACATAGCAGCTGTATAGACTTGTTTGTTTTCCTTGGAGAGCTACTAGTTTTTGTTGCTGTTACACTTGTTGTTGTTTTGTTTTTTAGAGTCTTATGGTTTTTATTACATGTTTAAATCGTTCCACATCATAGATAATCTCTCTCTCTCTCTCTCTCTCTCTCTCTTTCTTCTTCCCTCTCTCTCTTTTTCTTCCTCCCTCTCTCTCTCTCAGTCTCACACATACACACACACTAGTTAGAGCTGGTGTTTTGCCAGCACTCTGGTGTGGTTTACGCCTTCATTCCTATAGATCAAACTTTTATCATCTTTTAACTTCTGTCTTCTTTGTATGTTACCCTTGGGTAACACCTCTAATCCGTGGCACTTAAATTGACCTTATGGGTGGATGGCGGGTGCTCTGCTGTGGTTTGCTCCTGCTTTCCTGTTAAAAAAATCTATCGTCTCTATCTACCCTTCTTTTTCGTGTTTGTTACTCTATCTTGTAACACCTCTAATCTTCGGCATTTATATGACCTTATTGTGTTGCAAGTGCCGTAAAACTCGTACTAAAACTAAAACACGCACACTCTCTCTCTCTTTCTTTCTCTCCCCCCCCCCCCCCCCTCACTCTCTCTCTCTATATATCTTCTTTGTATGCTACTCTCGAGTAACACCTCTAATCCGTGGCACTTAAACTGACCTCTATCTAATTGTGTTTGCAACTCTTACTAAAACTGAAAAACCAACCCCTGCTTTGTGGGTGGTTGGCGGGTGCTCTGGTGTGGTTTGCTCCTTCTTTCCTATCAAACATCTATCGTCCTAATCTCTCCTTCTTTTTTGTGTTTGTTACTCTCTTGTAACACCTCTAATTTTCGGCACTTATATGACCTTATTGTGTTGCAAGTGCCGTAAAACACTTACTAAAACTAAAACCCCTGCTTCTAATTAAGTTTGACTTTGTGTTTATGTCCAACAGGCAAAAGTCGCTGGGTGGAGTACCCCCTCTCTGTAGGACACGACTATGACGCCAGCCAGATACCCTCCGAGTGGTGAGTGACGAGTGTCATTTGTTTGATTTAGTAGTAAGAGTTTTACAGCGCTGGCAACTACATTAGAACATATGAGCGCGCAAAACACAAGTAGGTTGCGTTCACAACAGTTCGGTTCAGTGCATGGCTGGGCTCGGGTCAATGATCAGATTTTAAAATGTAAAAAAATCTTGAGGTGAAATAACAATCTAAAAATGATAACCTGCTTAAAATCAAAATAACTGTTTGCAATTTTCCGTATAGGCCAATGGCACTAGTGAGTGTCAGGGGAGACGATTCTTTGCTGTTTACTCATACAGGGTCAATTCTTTGCTGTTTACACGTACAGGGTCAATTCTTTGCTGTTTACACATACAGGGTCAATTCTTTGCTGTTTACACGTACAGGGTCAATTCTTTGCTGTTTACACATACAGGGTCAATTCTTTGCTGTTTACATGTACAGGGTCAATTCTTTGCTGTTTACATGTACAGGGTCAATTCTTTGCTGCTAACTCATAAATTATATATGGACTGTTCTTTGCATTGTTTTTGTTTGAGTTTGAGAAAAATTCTAATGTTGATATTTTTAAGCCCCACTGACGCAATTTAGATCATTTAGGAGGGGGTGGTGGGTGTTCCGTCCCCAACTGTGAGGGCCAACCTGGTCTGAGAGGGAAACAACATGCCCTAAAAAAGACTGAGATACTAGATAAAACAAAAATTTCTCCCCACTCAAGAATTGAACTCAGGTCTTCTGCGCGTGACAGCGAAGCGCCTAACCACGGCCTGTCTATTCAGTTAATAGTAATAATAATAGATGACATTTATATAGCGCTCAACCCAGCTTAAAGTACACAGGCTCTGAGCGCTTTACAGTACAGTACAACATACAACAGTAACATAAAATGTGTTCTGACTAAAGAAAATTATTCCAAATATTCATCTTATTAATTTAAAAACAGAAACGACTTCAGCTGACATTTGAATGAATCAAAAGATTTGATCTCTCTCAAAGTACTTGGTAAAGCATTCCAGATCTTGGGGCCTTGGTATTCAAATGCCCTTTCACCCATTGTTTTAAGTTTCATAGAGGGTAAAATAAATTTCTTTTTGTCAGCTGATGACCTTAAACTGCGAGTTGGAATGTACAGTCTTAACAGATTTGATAAATATGATGGTGCATTATGATTCAAACATTTGTTCTCACACGATGACAGAGATACACTCGCACTCATGCACACACAAACACTCAATTTGTCCACGATGCCCTGTACTCACCTCTGCCCACAAATTATCGTGTGACCAATCAGAACACTGTGCTAAAATGATGAACAAGTAAGTGCGGGTTAGTTTACTGAAATATTGAATCTGGCATGGACACAATTTGTGAATTTTATATTTAAATCGGCTGTAAGGTTTGTTCTGACGTAGCGGCCGATTTAATTTGTAGCTGTAATTTGAGTCCCTGTTTCGGTTTGTCTATCCCTTTTTTTACAGCCAAATATTTCAAGTCCTTCACGTTCTGAGCCTCACTTCCCTCCCACTTTGCCATCACAAGGCTCATATAGTAAAAACCCTTGCCATCAACGGCAAAGGCGTTTTGGAGAAAATCCAAAGAAACTGGGTAGTAAACATCGCCGATCGGCGAGATGTGACAGCAAAGTGTTAATTGTACGAAAAGTTATGAAATGTGTTTTGTGGTACTTTGAGGACCCTCTTAGTCTTAGAGTAACCTGCTTTGCATCATTGTGTCCGTGCAGGCACCGGTGGCTACAGTACATCGCTGACGAGCCCCCCACCCAACTTCCCCTCCCCCACCGCCCATGGATGGCCGACCACACGGAGAACTTCTCGGGCACCAGCAGAGAGTATGTGCCGTACAGCACCACGCGGCCCAAGGTCGAGGCCTGGGTGCCGCCCAAGAAGTAGCCTGATGGACCCCGTGTAAATATAGACCGTCGTGTGCGTTCGTCGTCAGTGTGTCGGGTGACTCGAGGCGTGTGTCATGTATATGTGTCGTGGAGTGGCCGGGAAGACTTACTGGCAACCTGTTTTTGTCGTGTGTACCGCCAGAGACTGGACGTGACGTCATGGCAGTAATTTCCCCTCGGAGATTTGCTGGTGATGATACACATGTCCAGCTCATGTGTTTTATGTTATCTGTTCGTCATAGCTGCCAGCCACTTCGTGAAAAACATTTTTAATATTATGTTTGTGAGGGTCTGGGTATCGAAAAATCTGTTCTTGTGCAGGAAACTACGTATTCTCTATCTTTTAATGTCGAAGAAAAATTATGAATTTTCAAGACCAGATTTGAGAATAACAAGGAAAATGAAGCCCCTAAGTCAATTGGAAAGCTCTTTTTCTGCATCATGTCCACTTTGAAGCTCGAATTTTTACGATTCAATTTAGAAAAGTGTGTGTGGGTGGAGGAGAGAGGGAGAGAGGAGAGGGGGTGGGGGGTACTTGACCAGTGCCCACCATCTAGACCCCCCCCCCCCTGCTTGAGTAGAGTCTGTTTTTCAGTTTGGAAAAGTTGGCAGCTATGTCTGTTAGAAAATCGCGTAAGAAGAAAGTTGACAGAACTAGTTTGGTCTGCTGAGCCCGAATTTTGAATGAATAAAAATAAATATGTGATATCGTCCAAGGTTTGTGTGTGAGTTTTTCTGTTGTTTTGACAGAGTGCCATGGTGGGTGGTTGGCGGGTGCTCTGGTGTTTTATTCTTTCTTTCTTTCCTGTCAAATATATATCATCCTTATATATCTCTCCTCTTTCTTTTCTTTGTATGTTACTTTCTACTTGTTTACTTTTACTTGTTTACTTGTGTGAAGGACTGACATCACTGCACAAGGGGCATTCCCATAAGCTCTCCGTCCCCTGAACAAGCACATCTCAAAGTGTGTAGATGCTGACGGTATGTTACTTTCTAGTAACTGAACACCTTTACTCTTCAGTGAGTGAGGGAGGGTGAGACACAACATCCCAGGAGAAAGACGGAGAGATACTTGATGAAAATTAGAATCGAACTCAGACCCCCTTCACAAGTCCAACACAACCACTTGAAGCGAAACAAATTGCTTTTATTTAATTCTCATTTTTCATTCATAAAATTTACATAACATGAGTTGTGTAGAAGGATGATCCCCCCCCCCCCCCCCCCAACACAACCAACAGAGAAAATATACTAACATAAGAATTAAACAGCAAAATATTATCAACTTTCCAGCATCATTATCATCATCATGAAATCGCGACCTCAGTACTTTCTTGTTGTTTCTCCTTTTTTTTTTAAAAACAGTGAAAATATGACATTTTCTTTAGCTCATTCTTTGTTATGAACTGTTTTCACTTATTTTTTTTAAAAATGGAAGATAGGACAAGAAAGCACTGGGGTCGCGAAATGTATTTATAATTTTTTTTCCAAAAAGCATAACATTTACTAAGGTGTTTTCTACATAACTCACAAAAGTCCGGCACCAAATTAGGGCTAACAAATCACACCCCCCCCCCCCCAACCAAAAAACCCCCCCAACACAGCCAACACAGGAAATAGGTCTACTCGGTAAATTCGCACACGACAGACTGGGACAAGGGGAGATATTGAGCTATTGAGTTGAGCCACGTTTCCAAGACAACGGAACTCCTTTAGGAATGCATGGGTTCTGACAACAGGATGCTTGAAGCCACCGTCGCCAGGTATAATAAGTGTATGTGTAAGTGTCTGGGTTTAACACACTTGAGCCTGACGAGCTATTTTTCACCCAACAACCATTGCCGCCTGACAGTTTTGGGGTATATTAATAAAGCGTTAACCACAAAAAGACCATGAAAGCTGAAATGATTTTTAAAAATGGAACAAAAAAAGAGAAAGAAATGCTTTCACAGACTTAAAGAAAACTGCATCTGACTTGTCCGAATAGTTTTCATTTTGAAATAGCAATGTCTTGGGGTTAAGCATTTTTTCCCCACCATCCAACTAGTAATAAAATCATCTATCACAATACAGGCGTGACCGACTTAAGTCAGTTACAGCTCAAAAAGTATCACACATAACAACTTCACCAAATTTTTTACCAAACGAAACAAGTAAGTGAACTGTTGGCTTATAGTACCCATAGCCTGCGTCTGAAAAACAAAGTCTGCTTCGACTATCAAGGCACCCCGGATATCTAGCAGTTCACTAGAGAGAGACAAACATACAAAAGAAGTAGTATAGTAGAGGAAAACTGACAACAGTAAGGATGAGGAAAGAAAAAGCAGCAGTTCCCCATACGTTGTTCCGGCACAGTATGAGCATGACATTGATAAATCAGCCCAATTACAATTCTACTGTGCATAAGAACATGTTAATATAACATTCCCCCTTTTGGGAATGGCCTAAAGACAACTTCAGTCAGTAGCACTGCCCCGGGGGGGAGGGGGACCATGATGCACAGGAGGGTCCTCAAAGTATTACAAAACACAACTTTTCGTACAATTAAGGAAGAGGGGCTCTTAAAGTAAAGGTGTGGAAATATTCGCCGGTAAAAAAAGGGATAAAAGCAAACTGAAACGGACTCAAATTACAGCCACCTTAAATCGGTCACTACATCCGGAACAAGAGGCAAAGTGTCAAGGCCATCCGCTCTGTATTTCCAACATGACGACAGTAAGCTGCTTCGGTTCCAAAGTTCTCTACCAGTCATTTGTGAGGCGTGCTGACAAAATGAGTTACTTCTCGAAATCCAAGAATGGAAATATTGGCCGAAAATCGACACTGAGGTCAGATTTATAGATTTTTAATTGATACTATTTTGTTCAAGTTTACAATGTCTTTTATTATTCCATACTTACAAATTGTACAAACTCCACCTGTAAAGTTGATGTATCAATTTCCATATGGTCAAAATCCGAGTGGGTGGTTGGCAGGTACTCCGGTGTGGTTTGCTCCTTCGTTCCTATCAAACAACTAGCATCTTTATCTCCCCTCCTTCTTTTTTATGTTTGTTATTCTCTTGTAACACCTCTAATCCTCGGCCCTTATATGACCTAATTGTGTTGCAAGTGCCGTAAAACGCTTACCTAAAACTAAAAAACAAAATCCGAGAAGTAACTCATTTTGTCAGCACACCTCACATTTGAACTTTTCTTTTCAACATCACAGTGGTACAAAACAAAATGACAATTTCAGTTAATTAAAACTTAAACAATTCTGGCGACAGGTTGTCCACTACAGTAGATTCTTTCAATCAGTCATCAATCTCTCTCTCTCTCTCTCTCTCTCCCTCTCTTTCTCTCTCCCTCTCTTTCTCTCTCTTTCCCTGCCTGCCTTTATGAAAATTATAAAAAAAACAAAAAACTTGCTGAAATGTTACAGAGCACCCATGAACATGATTATTCAATATTTGTGAGGCGTGCTGACAAAATGAGTTACTTCTCCCAATAATATGAAGTGAAGATATTGGTTAACAATCAACACAAGGGCCACATTTGTAGATTCTAAACAAATAGCATTCTCTTCCATGTATAACATGTTTTTTATCATTTCATACTAATGAATTGTAAAAACTCAACCTCCAGATTTGACCCATCCATTTCCATCGGGCTAAAATTCGAGAAGTAACATGTTTCGTAAGCACGCCTCACATTTATCAGAATATTATGGAAAAAAAGTACATTCTATGAAGTAAAACGTTACAGAATCTTGCTAAAAAAACCCAAATAAAAAAAACCAAACCCAGTCGAGTACACACATAGCCCAATTGGTGGGGCGCGGATATCTTGGGGTTTGTAAGGATTTTGCTAGAACAAATACTTGTTTTTATCATAAATAATATGCACGCAGTATGGGAAAAAATTCAGGGCCTGAAGATCTGTTTGCTACTTGTTGTATGTTTTGCTACGTGAGTTTCTCCATGTTGTGAGTTACACTAATTCATTTAACACTTTGCCACCACAAGGCTCATATGTGACATAGTAAAAACCCTTGCCACCACAAGTCTCATATGTGACATAGTAAAAACCCTTGCCATCACAAGGCTCATATGTGACATAGTAAAAACCCTTGCCATCACTAGGCTCATATGTGACATAGTAAAAACCCTTGCCATCACAAGCATTTTGGAGGAGATCCAAAGAAACTGGGCAGTAAACATCGCCGATCAGCGTTTTGTGACGGGAGCGGAAGTAGGCGGCAAATGGTGAACAGCAGAAAGAGAACAAGATTCATAATAATAATAATAATAATAGATTGCATAAATATTTATAACAGCTGGGCACAGATGAAACAAACAAGGAAAGCTCGAAATCATGGATAGTTTGTACCGGTATATAATTTGCCAATCCTCTGATTGGCTACCTGAATTATGTGTCGACGAACACATTTCATGACCTCAGTGCTTTCTCATTGCATCTCCATTTTTATTCAACAGTGAACAACGGTTCATAACAAAGAGTGAGCTCAAGAAGAAGTCACATTTTCACTGTTAAAAAAAAAATGGGGTACAACAAGAAAGCACAGAGGCCGCGATTTATCAATCCCCGACGCGTTTGAGTTGTTCGCACCTCATGGCATGACGCTCTAACCCACACAAGTAGAAGCTCTGAGTACTTTATATATATATCTGTTCCGTGAGCTTATTAGTATTTATTTCATATGTTAATTTTAATTCTAATTTTAATATTTTTACACTTCAGATGGCAGCGCAATTATACGTTCGTTAAAACACACAGCCCAATCTTAACATTGCATCGATCGTAATTAGCGCGGAACATATCCATGACATGAATACTGAGAGTATACCGATAAACCTCACTAAAACAAAACAAAAATGTCATTATGCAAAAGAAAACCAGTTCAACAAACACATAAATAAGGAAGAACTTTCTCAGCCACGCCAGAGCACCCACCAACCACCCACCAGCTCCCCAGGCCTACAACACCAGGCACCTGAGCTCCGGACAGAAAACGTCCCAAATATAATAACAATAATAAATGACATTTGTGAGGCAGCGTGGTGAAATCAGGCGCTCGTCAAGATAACGAAATTGAAGAAACAGGCATTTTTCACCCAGTTTGGACATTTTTATCTAATTTTTATTTTTCGGCTTAACCTCTTTACTGTCCATATAAAAACGCATTTCCATATGAATTTTACTGAAAAACATAGATTAAAGGCACAAAATAGGTAATTTTTAAGTTTTCAAAGACTCTTTAGCTATTGGAGTCATCAAATTTTGGCGGCCACTTTCTCACTTATTTCACCACAGAAACCAGGCGACCTCACTTCCTTCAATCGCAGGTATCTTGAGTTCTATCCAAGATAAATGGATATTTATTTTATTGGAAGCAAGGCAAATAAATCAGCTTTCTGATGATACCAATAACTCCACATGCACAAAACTTGATGAGTGCCTGATTCCACCGCGTCGTGACACATTTTTATAGCGCTCAATCTCGATTAAAGTACACAGACTCTGAGCGCTTTACAATTGAATACAACGTAAAACAGTAACATAAAATGTTGAGCTCTGACTAAAAGAAAATCTCTCCAAATATTCATCTTATTAATTTAAAAACTGAACTGACTTCAGCTGTCATTTAAAGGAATCAAAAGATTCGATCGCTCTTAACCCTATCCATACGCCATGGGGTCATTTTGTACCCCCGGGATTGTATTCTTCACATTTTAGAATATTTCTAGTACGAAAATCTCTGAAACTTTCAGTATTTCTCAAAAAATCATTTTGACAGACTGCTATGCAAAGTGTACGGATCGGATTAACGAGTAAATTTCCTCTTTGAAAGTGGTGGTACAGAGTTCCCCACGTCGTATGGATACGATAGTAAAACATGAAGTACGGATAGGGTAAAAGTACTTGGAAACACATTCCAGATCTTGGGGCCTTGGTATTCAAATGCCCTTTCACCCATTGTTTTACGTTTCATAGATGGTAAAATAAATTTCTTTTTGTCAGCTGATGACCTTAAACAGCGAGTTGGAATGTACAGTCTCAAGAGGTTTGATAAATATGATGGCGCTTTATCATTCAAGCATTTGTGACATAGGGTGGCCAACTTGTACACAATTCTTTTCTCAACAGGAAGCCAGTGTAATGTCTGTAGAAGTGGTTTAGCAGAGTCTCACTTTCTTTTCCGTAAAATATCTACACTTCTGTTCATCAAGATAGATGGGTATTGTTTTCATCACAAGCAAGACAAATGAACTAGCTTTCAGATTAAACATATTATATTATATAACTCCAGATGCTCAAAACTTGCCGACCGCCTGATTCCATCGTGTCATGACACACATACACACATGTATCACCATAGCTGCCTTCTCTTGGGAGAATGACATGACGCCAACACACAATCCTACAGTAGGTTGAAAACACTTGGCACATGTGTCACCAACATGCAATCTCTCTGTGCGAGTGCCGGCCGTCACTGTAAGACTGTATGTGGCAACCATCACAATAATAATATTGTCTAAGTGGCGGGCGTCACTGTTAGACTGTGAATGAGTGGCGGCCATCACTGTTAGACTGTGAGTGAGTGGCGGGCGTCACTGTTAGAATCCTGAGTGAGTGGCAGCCATCACAGTAAGACTGCTGGCAGCCATCACTATAATATTGTCTGAGTGGCGGGG